GTTCCGGCGCTGTTCGGGTCGCATATATGTGCAGCAGTCGAAACGAAAATAACACATATAATATTATATTATGTGTACAGTATATAAAAAAAGAGAGACGGATATAGGTTAAATTATTTTTTTTAAACGTTATAAATATCGAACGACACACCTTCGTCGTAAAAAAGGTTTTCTCCTGTGCAGCTCCACCACGCCGCCACATCACCGCTGGAAAATGGTTAGTGACGGGTTAATGTCGGTGGTCGGAGTGGCTCACTATATATTTTTGTTATTTTTTTTTTTTTAAACGTTCAAGCTTACGTTGACTGTACTATTACTCGAGTGGGACTATTATACGGCGGCCCCGTAAGTATATTTTGTATTTTATGGTTTTATATTTTGTCCAAACGATGTGGAGTCCTGCCGTGCAATTCCGTAATAATTCCAATTTTGATATTATTATAATTTGCCCTAATGCCGATAAATAGCGATGAGTGACGGATTCGTATAATATATTTTATACTTACGAAATGTAAATTCAAAACGCGTCACGTATACCGGAGTGTTCCTAACCTTAGAAGTTTGAACCTTACATATGGTACTGCAGCTGAGTGATTTTTTATTATTTAAGTATACATATCTATTATTATAATTTAATAATAAATCTTTGTGTGGAGGGGTTGGCGGGGGTCACCAAACCGATGGCAGAGAGTAAATTTCTTGTAAACTAACATATTATAATTACTTGAGATAATTTTAAATTTGACATATTATATTTGAAAATTGATAAGTTCTATTTCGATACGTTGTGATTCGTAAAAAGAAATTGAAGTACATTATGGAAAATTTAGTAAGATGATGAATATGCATCATTTTCATTTTCGACTTTTTACGTAGATGAAGTACGCGATAACGAATAAATTGATGAAAAATAATATATATTATGAAACAACTTTGACTATTATAGTGTGAAGGGTGACCTGTAATAGAGATCACAGCTTAGCTTTGGATATGTAGGAGGGATAAGGCAAAACAACGAAAAAAAAAATCGACGCTTACTGCTTTCTTCTGCTGTAGTTTCGTAAATTCTAATGGCACTGTGAACAAACATATTATTTATTATATGCTATATATTATAACATAGCGATTTGCGATTGTGTATTAGTGTAGGTACATTGCACAATGCTGCATAATGGTTGCCATTATTTCGCATTATGTAAAATATACGTATTTACTAGGTACCTATTATATTATATTATTATACTGGATGATTCTTTTAAAGCTGAACACTAGATTTATCAAAAAAATTTTTAGAAATTTTTTTTAATCATAATTTAAGTCATGAAGTACTAAACAAAATGTTTTAAGAAACTGTAACCTACTTTATTTATCGATACAGGTTTTTAACATTCAATTTTATACTCTAAAATACAATATTTTTCTGAGAATTTGAATACATGGAAATTTAATTTTAGACTTGTAGGTAGTTAATTAGTTATAACTTATAAGTATTTCAAGTTTAATCGAGTGGAGTGGAGTGTGGCATAGAGGTATCCATAAACAATTTAGTTGACTACAACTCACTGTTCATCTATACTCTTTAAATACTTAAATACTTTTATATTTGATATTATAACATTTATAATTTATTCATATACATTTTATCTTATACCTAACTGATTAACTACTCGATAGTATTGTTGCGTTATGCAGATAAAGATTTTTTATCTTTTTATCTTATCTAGATAAAATAAATGTACAGTATCTTTCTATCTTATATAGATAAATAAAACCGTCATATGATTATCTGCAAATAAATCGTTACCAGTTTTATTAATTTTAATTGATTTTTTCGTTTTTCTAAAAATTTGATATTTAAAATTTAAGACATAACGTGCCAAATACCACAATTAGTTCACATGGAGTCACCCTGCCTTATTATGATAA